TGTAAATGTTTGCTTAGGCATTCGATGTCTTGAACTTTGCTTTTGTTTGCGTAGGTTTATCGGCATGGAGATCGCACGCCCGTCGACCCTTATCCGAATGATCCCTACTTGAACAAGAGCTACTGGCCTGTTGGTTTCGGTCAATTAACAAATGTAAGTCGAAAGACACCAATAAAGACTTTAATCTCATAGATTATAATTCTAGGTGGGTAAAGAGCAGCATTATGAGTTTGGCGCGTGGCTCCGCACGAGATACAACGACTTTTTACCGAAAGACTACAGCGAAAGCGACATCTACATCCGTGCGACCGATGTAGATCGTACCCTAATGTCTGCGCAAGCGAATCTCGCCGGGTTGTACCCGCCGGTGACACCCGAAGACACATGGAACGCCGATATTCCATGGCAGCCGATCCCGGTGCACACCGCGCCGGAAACCGACGATATCATACTCGCCATGAAGACAAACTGCCCAAGATATAACTACTTCATGTCACAATTGATGGAAGAGCCGTATTTCCAGGATTTAGCTAAACATAACCAGCCGATTTATCAATACGTGACGAAAAACACCGGCAGAAAGGTGTCGGATATCCTCAGCCTGGAATTCATCTATAATACTCTATTTATTGAGGATTTGTACAACTACACGTTGCCACAATGGACGAAGCAAGTGTATCCGGATGTAATGCGGCCGTTGGCAGCGTTAAGCTTTGCGATTCCATGTTATAATGCGGATTTAGCGAGGTTGAAAGTCGGCCCGTTGTTGAATGACATCTATACACGTTTGAAAGCGTCCGCAGCGCCACCTACAGAAAATATATACCATCCGCGTGGTAATGCGCCGTATATTGAAAGTCATTCGAAACAAGACCAACCGAAGAAGATGTGGATGTATTCTGCGCATGACACAACAGTTGCGAATGTTTTGAATGCGTTGCGCGTGTTTGACCCGCACTCACCGCCGTACACGAGCGCTGTTATCATTGAATTGCGCACGAGTATCGCACGCGGTACGTTTGTAAACATCTTCTATAAAAATTCAAGCGTTGCGACGCCGATTACGTTGCCTACGTGTACGTTCGACTGCAGTTTGGAGGCGTTTCACGGTATTCTCGCGCCGCTGATGGTTTCGCCCAGCGATTGGTATGTGGAATGTGAACAGTTGAGTTTGCTGAGTCTATTAGCGTTTGAGTCGATCGAAGGTATCGTCTTTTTTGTGCTCTGCGTGTTTATCCTGATGATTGTCACGATGCTTATCTATTGCATTTATTGCGCCAAACCCAACTGTGAGCAGCGGACTTATCTGCGCCTGCCTGATGATGATCAAACTGTTTAAATCAGGTGATAACGCAGATATAAAAAAAAGGAAAAAAGTTACCATTATCCTATTTAGATTTATTGATATTGACTGAATATAGATATCGGTTTTATCACTGTTGGACTGCCTCGGCGTCGAATCAAAATGTACGTAATTGATGGTTGATTCGACGCCGATTGTTTTGATCAAATTCTAAGTGTCAGACTTGTGATGTATGTTTAGGAAGGTACTTAAGTCTATTTTTCTATTCGCAAACAGACTTTGAAGCGTGGGATTAGGTCGTCGAAAACACAACTCAAATGGTACAAACTTGTACTTAATATATGACTAAGTAATATTTATATTTTAATCTGTATTCTTTCAAATCCTTTGATGAAGTTTAAATTTAATAACATGTTTTGGTTGACAGAAACCGATTTGGATAGCTAGATTAGTATTGTCACACATAGAGGGCGCTGCATTTAAATAGTATTTAAAATGTATGCTTGTGTTCACCGCTAGAGTGCGCTACGTGTACTATTTGGTACTAAATATTTCAACCGTGGTTTCACACTGCGTCTAACCTAAGAAATATCAAAACAAACGACGCTCCACAATCGCAACTTCTTATTTTATAAATTTATTTAATAATTACCCAAAATGTTAGTTGCGCAAACAGGTATGAACCAATCCGGTATACCGGATAAACTATGGCAGCCACCGTTTGTCTCATTTGAAACAACGTAAGTTCAATATTATCTCATTTTACGTTTTAAAGTTTAATTGATTGGAATGTTTTTAGAATGGGTGAATTCACAATAGAATTATACTGGAAGCACGCGCCTGTAACCTGCCGCAACTTCGCAGAGCTCGCCCGCCGCGGCTACTACGACAACACAATCTTCCACCGCATTATCCGCGACTTTATGATCCAGGGCGGTGATCCCACCGGCACCGGCAAAGGCGGCGTCTCCATCTACGGCCAAACATTCCGCGATGAAATCCACCCGGAGTTGAAACACTCCGGCGCCGGTGTTCTCTCCATGGCGAATTCAGGCCCTGATACAAATGGTTCGCAGTTTTTCATTACGCTTGCGCCGACGCAATGGCTCGACAGTAAACACGCCATCTTCGGACGGATTCACGCCGGTATGCAGGTTGTAAAACGCATCGGATTGGTCGAAACCGACAAGAATGATAAACCCACCGATGAGGTGCGCATTATTAAGGGTAGAGTTATTAAGAATTAAATAAATTTTTATGTATATTGTGAGACTTATGACTTGATATTTATATGTATTTTCTGATTAAGTTCCGATTGTGTTTGTGAGATGCCAGCGGCGTCGTTGTGGCTCGGATCTTGCTCGCTGTATCGATTTTTCGCGCGGCTTCCTGTGTTGGAGGCGGCGTTTCCGCGAATGTGACGTTTGACGCAGCGACGGACGGCGGCACGTCAGGATCAATGTAAATATTCGACTGATTGCATCGCGGAGCGCACAAGAAGATACAAAATCGCGAAGGCGGCCGAAACCAGCACAGCGTGTGTCGTGGAAGCATTCGTATTCTAACAAAGGTAGATCACCATTATTGCATACTTTTTTATTCACATCGCTCGCCCTCGCAAACATTTCGCTTACATCCACACACACTGTCAAAATCTATTTTATTTGGTATTTGTTTGCATTTTGCGCTGCTGTTGATCAATGAGCGGTGGTTTTGTTTGGTCAATAACACCCCCGAAAGAATTTTAATGCGAAATCAATGAACGGAAGGCGCTTTTCAGTTGTAATTTATAAATAGCTGCGCACACAATCATCTTTTGCGCGCCGAGTGCACTCTGCACGCAATTAATTTCCCAATCAATCGAAACTCTCTGTCTCTTCTTCTACAGCACCGCCGATGGTCGGATGAACACCGTCGGCACCGTAAAAGCCACATTTAGTGACAATATTAAATTGAGCATTAATTGGTAACTAAACAAGCAAAAAAATGCAATAATTTCATAGAGCATGTGCGTTACTGCATGGTTAACTCATAGAATAAGTAATAGTAAACATAGGAATAATCTCGTATTGTTTAATCCGCGTGTAATGTTTGTTTAAATTGTTGAAAACAAGCGAAACAAGTCTCCGCTCGCACAGCGCCCTCATAGCTAACGCGGTTGTTACGTAAACTAACGCGTTGCCAGAAGACTCGGTATTTCGACCAATCACACGCGAGGATTTCGCTCGCACCGCGCGCGGGCTGCCTCCGCCGCACACTACCTTTTCGCCAGCGGAACGCACGGTTACACGGCGCGGCTTTGATAAGTGCGAAGGCAATAAAAGTCGCAAAGACAGTGCCCATCAGTGCGGTGACCGGTGTGATAACACTCGAATTCGAGCGTGGAACGCGCGGACAATTATAATTCAGCAGGTAAAAAACAATCTCAATCATTTCGTTATCGTTATCATCATCCCCCACGGCGTAGCATGAGTTTTATATTCGCTGTTTGATTGTAGTTGGCATTGACGAAAAACAAAATTGCGCTATGTCGCCGCGGGCAACTGTTCTAACAGTTTCGAAAAAGTCGTCCGAGAAATAAACAGTGTTTGCGGTGCGTTTTTTTTTCTCTCCCCTTTCGCGTAAGCTACATCGTGTGTTCGCTCGTTTGCGGATTCAAACTCTCTTTCACATGTTTAGTTCAGTGTTTAAAATTCTCGATTAGCGCAACCAACCCCCCCGTCCGCGCCGCAGCCACCGAGCAAAATCGAAAGACAATTAGTCCGCATCGTAAATTTGCATTTGCATTGAAATTGGGTGCGTGTCGGCGACTACTTAACCCACGCACACACACACACGCACGCTGCGGGATCCTCGTTTCGATTTGAATTGCGTGAGTTTTTTTTTTTTGCCCGATATTAAATCATTATCATTTCATTTGCCGCAAATCTGACATTTGACAGAGTTGCGCCGGTTGCTGGGGTAACCTAGGGTGGAAGACATTCCAAGGGCAAGCAAGTAAATATATCGCGTGACTTGACATGCATGCATGTATGCTGTGTGTATAGAGTATATAATATACCTGGCGATGCAAATTATGCTTCGATAAAGGGGGGTTTTATTGATAAAGCTTTATATATGATGATGATTGATTGAATGATGTAAGATTAGTTTTCTTAGTTGTTTGTGGAATGTCGATGACTGCGCACGCTGTTGTACGCATACCGAATTTGTCTGTTTATTATAGGTGTATAGTTAGCTTTATCACTGTCAATTGTCAATTGTCTAATGTGTGCGGTTTTTGATTTTGTAGGTCTGAAAACAAAAAACGATCCAGCAAAATGTCTGACCGCAAAGCAGTGATCAAGAATGCCGACATGGGCGAGGATATGCAGCAGGACGCTGTCGACTGCGCCACGCAGGCGATTGAAAAGTACAATATCGAAAAGGTATGAATTTTGATCACGTGGTGTAACCTTGACGGCGTTTACTACCCTCTATGTGATCGATTGGTAACTAATTACGTGTATTTTGTGCGTAGGATATTGCCGCGTACATCAAGAAGGAGTTCGACAAGAAGTACAATCCCACATGGCATTGCATCGTCGGGCGTAACTTTGGCTCGTACGTGACGCACGAGACGCGCCATTTTATCTACTTCTACCTGGGCCAGGTGGCGATTCTGCTCTTTAAGAGCGGATAGACTGCGATGGCGTCGTCGACGGCGGTGTGCCACGACCAGATGAACATCAATAAGACACACACACACACACACACACCCACCTCCGAAATTTCGACAAGATGAACTTGGCTTATTTTTTCTCAAATTTTCAACTCTTCAAATGCGGCACGTGCAGCATACACACACACACATCCTATTCTCTTTCAACCCGACCAAACACTAGATAAATCAAATCCTATTCCCGATGAACGCATCTCATGAATAATAAAAACAGAGACATTTTTAACCATTTCGCTCCTCCTTTCCTCTCTCCGTTGTTGCTGTGTATGTACAATGTGGTTTTATTTAAGTTAACGCTCAATGTTTTGCTCACCGAGACACACACACACGCCCAGAGGTTGAAAACGTTTTGACAGTACTGATGTCAAACTAACTTTATAAAAGAAAGAAACGATTCTTTGATTGCAGTTGATTGAAAATTTCCGAGTTTAGTTTGTACAAATGCCACGGTGGTGTGTTGAGTTTCTGTAACTAACTCTTACTCTAACTACTTAACGTTACAAATTTCAATTTAGAACGATGATTCTGAAGAAGCAAGCGCACTGTTATAATAGTTTTCTTTTTGTTATTAACGTGGAGATGGATTTGTTAACCGATTGCGGCGGCGCACTTAATACGCGTGCGGGGACATGAGATGAGAATTAATTCTTAGTTTATTATATGATTATTATTATTAAAATGCAGCGAACGCAGAATGTGGTTCTGACTCTGTGAGAGGATCTATGAATATATTTGATTAGCCCAAGACGACTAATGGTCGAGAATGTATGAGTGTGCGCGCGTGTTTAAACAAACAAATGTATTAACTCTCTCGCCTACTTTCACTTAACGTATTTTGGACAAGACAATTCTGAAGCGCCCCCATGAATATTACTCCGATTTGCATTTCCGAACACGTGAATCTCGAAATGAAACATTGATTAATAACTGAATATTAATATGAAATATGAATGTTAACCATACACCATGTTGCGATTTTTAATTCTTGTAGAATCTGCGCCTTGATTCCCCTGAAATAGTTTTGAATTTTTAAGTTTGTTGTGTGAATTTGTGTGGTGGGTGTCATTTTAGTTGCGTTTTTCACCACTTGGCGCTGTTAACCTAGAAATTGTGATACATTGATGGTTATACACTTCTCATCAGAGGAGAATTTGTTTTCATAAATTAGTCGTTTATTTATAATTCTGCGTTATGGATTTGTCTAAACAGACAAACGATAAGAAGCTACACCTCTGCCGGTGGTATTTCAAAGGTAATCACAACGCAACATCAATTTGTTTTGTTATAAAATTGAACATAAACTGACACAGTGTTTCTTTTCAGTGGGATTTGCCCTGCTGCCATTTGTTTGGGCTGTAAATGCTGTGTGGTTCTTCTGTGAAGCCTTCCAGAAGCCAGAATACCCCGAACAGAAACAAATAAGACAATGTAAGACACATTTTCTGATGTTTCTGATGATTATGTTATGATTATGTTCCTTGAATTCAGATGTGATATACTCTGCAAGTGGTGCACTTGTATGGCTGGTGGGTCTGGTCACCTGGGTGATCATCTTTCAGACACACAGAGTGGAATGGGGAGAGTTTGCTGACAATATTTCGTTCATCATACCTTTAGGTGCATAGTCATCCTGTATTAATCATCCTACATCAAGTTATTCCATATTTATTTAGAGTAAGTTATTATTATATTATTTTATATATGAAGTGATGGAAATTGAGAGGGTTTACCCTTCGTTTTTGATCTTTGTGCGCGTGCGTCAGCATAAATTGTCAGTCATCTGTCAATTAATTTAAACAGATTTCTTTTTTATCTGTTAGGTGAAACACAAGCGTCATTCTTTTATATTCATCAGATTATCGCATTTTATAATAAAATAAACAATCAAACAATGTATTGATTCAAACAGAAGTTAAGGTTGATTATGTTTCATCAGTTTTTTGTTTATTTTGCTGATAAGTTAATCGCTAAACACAAAATTTACCAACCGATAAGAAAATGGGTTGAAAATTGAATCTGTGAGATGTAAAAAATGTTTATTAGCTTATACAAGTATAAAAAATGTACATACATGTCGGGTTTAAGCTAAATTACGACTAATCTACCATACCTTACGCGTAAACTTCTTATCTAGTGAGTGTTCTCGTGAAACTACCTTTTTTCTTGTATCAAAAATTCATTTTCTTACAAATTTCGGGAATGATTGCTATTATTATCATTAAAATCTAATGGATAAAATTCTTCATGGACGTGTCGTGTTTCGTTAGTCAGATCTTAAAAATAAATTAATTTTGTACAAAGATTGATTCCGCGTCGAGTGTTAAAATTAAACTAAACGCAGCGCGACGAGCATCGCCAATGCGCTCATTACAACATGAGAGTTTCGGCTGCCAGAGGTGGAGGAAGCCTCCCAGATTAGGCCGGGGTAGTTAATGTTGGCCACGGCGATTTCTACAAAAATATTAATCATTAAAAATACAAATAAACAAATATTGAGGTTAAAATAAACATCAAGATGCATAAAAATATCAAGATGCGTATATTTTGATTATAATTACCTGTATAACGCGATCGCGAGCGTCGTCATCAGCGCCAGACTGCTTGTCTCCAGCTGGGCAGCGTCACCGTACCGTGCCTGACCGCATGCGGGTGGACACACCGGAATAATCGACTCTACACAATGAAAAATAAACAAAATAATATAGAAAAAAACATTCCGGAACTCATTCTCAGGCAATAATCATCAAATAATATAAAAAAACATCAACTCACCGAAGAGTTCAGCCTTCCCTTCAGAAGATCCCAACTTATTCGTGGCTTTACAAGTGTAAGTCCCATACTGACGCTTCTCAATCGTGATCACCCTCACGGTGAAATCAGTAAACTCATCACTAGTCGCAAACTGATCAATCTTATAATGCTGATTCGTCGATAGCGTCACACCGTCCTTCACCCAGACGATCGCAGGTGGTGGATACGCCACCACGTGACACTCCAGATCCATATCATACTGCAACGCTTGCCCGAGTCGCGGTCGTGGAATGGTCACAACCGGCGCGAATTCCACCTCAACGGCGATGTTACGCCTCGCGCCGCGTCCGACACCATTCTCGGCGATGCAGTAATAAGTACCACGGTCCTCCTTGCGTATACTCTTCATTTTCAAGATGTTTCCGCGATAGATTGATCCTCCTGAAGGTAGAATCACGCTGTTTTCGCGACGCCATGAGATACGCGGCGCTGGGAATCCACCGGCGTAGCATTCCAGTTGTACGCTTTCACCTTCGGAGACGATGAGTGAACGCGTTGAGTTGTCGGAGATGAATGGCGGACGACGCACCTGCAGCTGCACGCCGGCGGAGATTTTGTTATTCACCGAGATGAGCACCTGACAGCCGTAGGTACCAGCGTCGGTCTCCTGGATATCTTTTATGATCAACGTGTAAGTTGAACTCGCCTATAAATATAATTTTTATGTTTAATGTGTGTAATTCAGTGAAAATTTATGATTTTTACCTTGTCATGACGCAGAGAAAAGCGTGAATCTTGTAAAATTAGTGTCGATAATGTAGAAATCGGTACAATATTATGATTAGGGTCTTCTTTGATCCACAACACGGGATAATCCTGTGAGTATTGCACAGAACACACTAATTCTACCGTACCGCCGATGTCTTTGATTTGTTCCTGTGTTATGTAGGAAATCGTCGGTGATCTTTGCCCGGAAGCTGAAACATTGATCAAACATTCTAGAAAACAATGGACGCTTCACGATTTCACACAAAAATTACACACGAAATGTGATTTAATGCGGTTAATTATGTTTTTTTGTATTAAATTGGTTTTAGACACGCCTAGCGAGACTCACCTGTGCCAATTAACACTAGAATTAGTATCGCGGCGCTGGTTTGTTGTGGTGACGCCATCGTGGATATATTGTGTGTGGCGGAAACGACGCCGCTGACTGCGCTCAAGTTCGCTGGCTGTCTGTCTGGCGGTTACAAAAGGGTGCACCACCACAAGCGCAATGATGGCGGGCGCGTCGTGCGCACTTTGTCTGGTGCTTTCGCAGGGTGTAGGGAGAGGAACTGCGAGTACCGTATGCAGCGCAGCGCGCACCAACCACACCTTTAAACTGTTTAAAATACAATCGCCGTGTCCCCTCTTTCGTGCTTAGCACCGAGCTGCACGCCGCACAGAAGCGCTTCTACTGTTTCCACTGCGTGTTTGCGTAAAGTTTACGTCGTGTATGGTTGATTCACGCGAGACAAGTGACTCAACGGACAGGTTCACATCGGTACTATACCTGTGGTGTGATAATTTTTGCTTTCGTGGAATTTTACATTTGCAGAAATTGTATAGTTTTATAATCGGCTTTGCGTTGCCATGCGCAGTTACGGCGCCTAACGACGTGCAATTTAACAGTTTAGGGTAATTTTGGGGACGTAATCGGTATTAGGGATTAGTTTACGGCACCTGTCCGTGTTCTCATACACAATGCGGGGAATTAGAGTCGCGACCCGACGGCGCTGACTCATTTTATTGTATTCTTTGCATGTCACTGTTTTCTACGATTTAAATTGTAAGTTCGATTCATGTTGACCTCTTTGATGATATGATGATGCATCAAAAGTATTTTTCGCGCAGGAAGAGTCATCTAGTGATGAAACTAGTCACTAGATTTGAATTTGCTATACGAAAGACACGAAGAAGGACGATTGTGTTACGAAGCCGAAGACTACCGAATGCAGCAAAGGGTCGGCCATCTTTTATATAAAATCTTCGATTCTTTGCTTCTACACACATTCGAGAACATTCTTTTGATCGTTTTATGATTACTCTTGACTGTGCACGTGAATTGACTTATATCTAGTGTTTTATATTTACCGTTTTTGTTTGTAATAATAATTGTGAGAAAGTACTTCCTACCTTATCGACAGGAGTAGCCTGTCAAGCTTGGTTCGCCAGCTTCGCCGCCTCTCCCCACCTAACAACAAAGCTTATTGTTGTTATTGATTGCAAAGGCGATCGCGGCGGCATTCGGATCAGACGGTACTACAACCAAATCCGGCGTAAAAAAGCGCGCTGCGCTCGCAAAAACACCGGTGACTCGCCGCACGCTCAGCCACCGCTTCCATCAACTCTCGAAGAATACCAGAGCCAGGTAAAGAACCACACTAGCGATTGTGTTTTGTTTTGTTTGATTTTATTTTATTGCATTCTCATTGGTCGGATTCCATCATAGGGGCGCACGATGTCTTCGAAAAATACGCTCGCCGACCAGGAGCGCATCATCAAAGACTCGCTCTTCGCCTTCGTCCGTGCGCACATCCCCAATGGCGACCTCTCGCTCATCGACGAGATCGTCCTCTCCTATGTGGTATCGATCCTCGAGGACGTCTCCTCCGATCCGGTCTTCGACGTCGAGGGCTTCTGCGAGATGATGTCGGCGTACTTTCCGGAGTTCGAGTCGTTGAATCACGCGACCGTCTGCTCGTGGATGTTCGAGCTGGAGGCGAAGCTGCGCGACGAAGCGGCGCAGAATCGCGACGAGCGGGATATCAGCCTGATGGAGTTATCCATGCCGGAGATACTGCCGTGTATCAAACCCACTAAACAGGCGGATGTGGAGGATGCAGAACTGCCGAAGAGAGTGCACAAGATCAGCGAGGTGTCCGATGGGGGCTCGGACTCGTCATTTGGGGACTTTGCTGAGGAGATTGACTCGCTACAAGATATGTTTCCGCATGTATATGCTCTAGAGGTGAATATTTTATGTTTTTTAAAAGAAAATTCTAATTTTTTTAATGTTTAGATTAAGCATTGTTTGGCGATTGCCTGTGGTGATCCAGAACGCGCCACGCAAATCCTCCTCCATCGCCAGGAGTTGGGCCAGAGTATCACGAACAACGCCTCGCTGATTCTCACCACCAACAAGCAGATCATCGACGATGATGAACTGAAGCATCGCATCATCGAGCGCTATTCCTACGTGGATCAGGAGTCGCTCGCGCGTGAGCATCGCCCCGTCGCGCCCAAAGTGGAGCCGAAGAAGCTGGTGCGCTATCGCGATAACAAGATTGTTTCGTTGAAGGGCGAGCGTTATACGGAGGTGAAGAAGGGCGACGACGTGGAGGACGTCTCGCTGAAGAAGTCCAAGAAGCAGCAGGCGCACTGTCCGTAACAGATGGGCGCCGGTTGGGCGCGCCGCCGCCGTCGCCGCCCCAAGCCGTCTCGCGCTCCCGCCGCCCTCCTTCGCCTCCTCCTTCTTGTTCTTCTTGTCGTCGTCGTCGTCGTCGTGGTTATTGTCGTCGTCGCTGCTCGTCGTCGTCGCGTTAGCGCTCGTAGCTGCTCGTTTAGGTCGTTGTTAGCTAGTTGTTCGTCGATACGAATGTTCGGTGTTGATTGCATGCAGTAGCTATAGGGAGCAAGCGAGCGCGGCCATCTCCGGCGCGTCTCGCTTGCTCCGCAAATCGAGAATCTCTATGTTTTTAGGTACAATTAGGACACTGTCTGATTGCCTCGGAGGCGGCGGGCCTCGATCGGATCTCTCTCTTGTCGTTTTACCTCCCCCACCCTTTTCTTCTTCTACTTCGAATCTCATTTTATTTTTATTTTTATTTTTATTTTTACTCAACTTGTTTTTGATAGCTTTAAGTTAGTCTCTAGGTTTTATTCTCTTTTTCTTTTTTGCGTCGTAAGTTTTAACTACAAATCTAGTCATTGTAGGTTTATTTGATTCGTTTGTAAGTTTTTGTGCTCTTTTTACACGTTAATTTATTATGCGCGAAGTAACAGTATTACGTATGAAAGTATTTTATCTCTCATTTCGATGTGACGGGAACGAAACACAAATTGCGAACACACACGCAACACGTACACAACATGTATCTGTGATTTTAATTGTTAGTAATGCGTTGGTTGGTTGACAATTCTTTTGGGTTTTGCCATCCCTGGGGCGGGCCGCGCGTCCGCTCGATATGTGACTTTGTATTTGTCGATATATGACTTATATATTTCCTCACCACGTCGCTGTGTTTGGACGGGGCGAGTCATTCTCAACTCATGTTTCTGTCTTTGATTTTCATGAATACAAAGTTTAATTCAAACGCAGGCTTTCAACATTACTCCATTGCAACAGCGACATCTGCTGTGATTAGATTAGAATTTTGTTTGTTTCTGACACTTTGTATATTGGTGCTGACAGTGGCGACATCTACGTAGATGATACATGGTGTTGTATGTTGCGTTTATTGATGTAATTTCAATGGGTTTGGGTGGGTGTTGATGCATATCACCCTGTATTATGTGATATCGGTGGCGGCGCTTGTGGAGGGTCGGCGAATCGCGCGTGACATGTTCGCGGACGTCACGAAACGTCAGTTAGTCAGCAGCAGCAGGCGGCCTGCGCAGCACTTGGCGATCGCACGAAACTTTCCCCAGCGTTCGGTCGGTCGCAGGAAAAGATTCGCACGCACGCACGCAACCAGCGGGTCGGTGGCGGACGCTTCGGGTGCACGAATCCTCGCAGTGTTGTTGCGCGTGCTGCTGGTGGTGATTTTGTACAGTCGGGCGCGCTCCGTGGCCGCGCGTCGTACGCGCGTGCACAGGCAGTAGTAGTAATTACGTCGCGTCGCTCGCTGGAATGTAAATACGCGGCGGGCACGCGTGGGGTGAGAAGCAGAAGCAGCAGCAGCAGCGGTGAACGCGGCTCCTCTTATATCTCCTTCGGTGAGCAGCGGCGGCGGCGGCATGCCGACGGCGGGTGGCGTGCGCGCCTCCGCGAAGGCGCCGATGAACAGCGGTGGCGGACGTCGCCACTAAACACAGAAGAGCACATTGTGCGCCGCTGATGGCACACGGCCAGAACCACCAGCAGGGCGGCGAGCGGCCGACGATGGCCACCGCAACACCCACAGCGACAGCATCATCCGGTGGCGGCTGCGGTGGCGGCACCAATGCGCCCAACACCGTTGAGAATCTGCTGCGCGTTGGCTACTACGAGCTGGAGAAGACCATCGGCAAGGGCAACTTTGCCGTCGTCAAGCTGGCGACGAACATCGTCACCAAAACAAAGGTAACACACATTTTGTTTACGGCTGCGCTGCGCAAAACACGACCTATGTCACGTTGAAACACATTCACCAGCGCAGACGACTTATTATCATCATCATCATCATTATGCATTTTCAACAGGTAAAAAATCATTTTTTATCCAACAACACGCACGCAATGCCAATGTAAAACATTTAAGGACGCGTCGGCGCCAATTGCCTCTCGCCACTGATGGCCACTGATTGAGTTTAATGAATAAATCGGCGTCAATTTGCATTCGTCAATTGATCGGCTTCTTGGTTGCTGCGCCTGGTTGCCATGGCAGCGGCGCGCAACGTGACCGCCGAAGGGAGTCACGCGCCCGCAACACAACACACACGCGTATTATATCATATCACTCACATACTCTTTGTCTTCTTGCAGGTGGCCATCAAAATAATCGACAAGACGGCGTTGGATGTTGACAACCTGACGAAGATCGTGCGAGAGACGGAGAATTTGAAACGACTGCGACATCCGCATATTACACGGCTTTACCAGCTGATGGAGACGAAGCATTCGATCTATATTGTTACTGAATATGCCAGCAAGGGAGAGATCTTTGATCATTTGGTTGCGACTGGTCGCATGTCGGAGGTGGAAGCGCGCAGGGTTTTCGCGCAGATGGTCTCCGCGGTTGGATATTGCCATCGGAATGGTGTGGTGCATCGTGACTTGAAGGCTGAGAATCTTTTACTGGATCAGAATATGAATATTAAGGTATTTTGGTTAAACTAAAATAATAATAATAAAAAAAACGTTATTAATTTGTATTTTTTGTAGCTTGCTGATTTTGGATTCAGCAACCAATACAAAGAAGGTGACTTATTGTCGACGTGGTGCGGCAGCCCGCCGTACGCAGCCCCAGAACTCTTCAAGGGTTTGAAATATGACGGACCAAAGGCAGACATTTGGGTAAAACACTTTAAAAATTCAATTTTTTATGATTTTAACCTTAAATTCTTACAATTTGTAGAGTTTGGGAGTAGTTTTATACGTGGTGGTCTGTGGCCACTTGCCATTCGATGGCAAAAACCTGCAAGTCCTCCGCAATGTGGTCATCGCCGGCAAATTCCGCATCCCATACTTTATGAGTCAGGAATGCGAGCATCTCATCCGCCACATGTTGGTTGTGGACCCCGACAAGCGCATGACGCTCGCAAATATCGCGAAACACGAGTGGTTGAAGGGTGAAGAGGTGGTGACCACGCCGCCGGCGGCGCGCGAGCAGCTTTATAATAAGACGGTCATTGAGCACATGACGCAGCTGCCGGGGCTCACGCAGGAGATGATCATGAAGAGTGTGCAGGCGAATTCGTTTGATCATGTGTACGCCATCTATTGCCTGCTCGTGGATAAGCTGCATCAGCGGTGTATTAATTTCGAGTCAAAAGTACGTATAATAAATTTAATGTGTTTATGGTTGCCTATAGTTTATTATGTATTATGTTTTTGATTAGTTGTTGCAGCGACAAACGCACAGCACATCTACGAATATCTCCGTTGCTGGATCGACGAGTACAGTGAGCAATCAGAGTATTGAGTGTATAGATGATCGCAGCGAGGCGTCCAACACGCATCTTGATGTGAATGAAGCGATGGAGGTGTCGACTGGTTGCGTGCGCAGAGAGAGTTTCAACGAGAATTGTTTGCGCGCTGTGCGTGATGAGGTTAAACAGCGCAGGCGTAGTTTCAACGAGGGCGCTGCTGCGCCTTTAAGCATGAGCATTACGGCTGGTGGCGGCGGTGTTACGCCAACACCGGCTGTTTCCGATGATGTAGCATCGCCGTTTGTCTCTATGCCGACCATACCGGCGGTGTATCTCGGCGATGAGAATTCACAACAACTTGAAAAGGTATGCAACCAACATTACATGTTTTTGTATTAACTTTTATTGTTATTTAGTTTGGTGATCTCGAGATGGATAACAGCATGGACGAATCATTCGCTTCGTCGATGACATGCCCGACTGCATCAACCACCGGCTACGGCTCGTATAACTCATCGCTGGCGGATCGCGAACGTGCGTTTCATTCGAGCGCACGGCGTCATACCGTTGGCCCCGGTGATCCTGCGCATGAGCAGGTGCTGGAGTCGCACTACATGTCGCAGCTGGCACACGCCAATCTCATTCCGCAGCCGAACCTGCTGCTCAATCTGCCGCTGCTCGGGCAGCACACCTCGCATACGTACGCTGGCAAAGACCCGCACCTGCTGAAACCGCCGACGGTGCTGAACGCCGCCGGAGGGTTTGGACGTCGAGCGTCAGATGGCGGCGCTAATCTACATCTGCGTGCAATGGCGGGTGTTTCCGATCGCGCCACCGGGAGCCATGAACAGCTCAATATGGATCCGAGCATGTCCGCGAGCAGTTCCACAACTGCTGGCGGTGTGAGTCTCACCGAACACGCGCAGGTTTACGCCAGCGGTGGTGATGACCTGTCTGATCCTTTGGCGGTTGCACGATATCGACAATGTGGCGGTACCAGCCGACGGCATACAATGGCGAACCCTGAGGAAGCGCACGCTGCGCGCGGTGATGCATCCGGTGGTGCGCGCACGCGCCGTACCGGTCTTCTCATGGTGATACCACGACCAGGTGAGAGTTTTTCCAACGCGTTTGTAATTCATGTTTTTGAGTAATTAACCTTTGGTACAGTTGTATTTTGCACCGTAGTTGATTATTTATTTAAAATTTTGCTTCCCAAGCAGTACATATTGTAATTAATTCACACACTTAGTTAGGTATATGTGTGTTGTTGGTTTTTTTTTGTGTTGAATCGTTTTTCTTTGATTGCATGGTTTTGTTGTTGCTATTTGCGTTGCCTTGCGTGTTACTGCAGTCGCGTCGCCTGACGTGGTGCGCGAGGTAGTGGCGAGCATTCAATCCTGCAAGTTCAAGCCGGTCGTGGCGCGCAAGCTTTCGAGGCATCGGCGTGATGGCGGTGCCAAACCGCATTTGCCCACCGTACAAGAATCCGGTGAGTAGGCAACCCAACTCACTCACTTACACGCATTTGTGTCGTTTTATTTTTTATTCTAACACTATCTTGCACCAAATCTGCTTGTTTCTATGTCGCAATGTTGTGTTTTGTGGGTAGACTAGTAATTTGTATGTTTTTATAGGTCGTGAACCAAAGAGTATGGAGAGATTCTCGCCGGTGCGCAGAGGCAGCGAAGGTTCCGCTGGAAATTCACGTACGTTATCCCCGGCGACTGCGCAACAGGAATGTCAACGTTTACAGCGAGGTTTAGCGGGTTTAAGCACTCGCAACAGCCCACCAAGATCCATACCAGGTTCGCCTATACATCAGTCAATGCTGGGCGAGCAGCAGGTACAAACACAAACGTCACCATTGCATCATCAGTACGATGGCGGCGCATGCTCATCACGTGATGATTATGCATATAGTCCTATGCATAGCCCGTATGGTGGCAGCGCTGGCGGTTCCCCGAAACACGCCCCGCACTACTACAACATCTACTCAGGTAGCACTTCGCCAATCATGGCGATGAATTCCCCCGTCTACCACATGCCCACGGTGTCCTCCATCACCCAAGGCCTCTCCGGCTTGAACACGTGCGGCTCCACTGGGCCGAGCATCACGCAAGGCACCGGCTTCCAGCAGCAGCAGCCGCAGCAGTCGCCATCGACGGCGCCACCAGCGCCCGTCGACGACCTGCAGGCCTCCTATCACGCCGCCTGCCTGCAAGCGCTCAGCTTCCAGAATCTGCCGACGTTCTCGCATCACATCCTCAACATTCACAACCATCGCTCGCAGACGAACTCGCCCATTTCGAATCCGAGCAGTCCGGGCCTGGACATGATTCAGGAAGAGCTTCCACAGTCGACTGCCGCCGCCGCCGGCGGGATTATATGCGTAGGGGCGGCGGGGACGCCGCATCCGCAGATTAGCGTCACGTGTACGGATGTACAGGGTAGTGAGGTGACGCTGATTGCTAGTACAGACACATCGGAGGATTCCATGGATAGTTTAGAGAATATCCGCACGAATAAAACGCTGCCGTCGTTTGTCATCAGCCGCCCGCTAGATGGCCCTTCTATAACCAAAGGCATCGGACGTAAATCATCATGTGAGAATGCAGACGCATGCGCATTTCCCCCCACCGCTGGTTTTGACCAACGGCGTAACTCTGATAAGTCTTGTTATTCAGAAGATTCATTATCGAATGATTCCCTAAGTCCAGGTTCATCCAGCGCCGCGCATGATTTAGATACGAGTTCACACAGCGGCGGTGGCAGCAGTACAGGCGGCGGCGGTAATTTCCCGCAGGTGCAGAACGATTTTGAGGTGGATTTGTCGGAGGTATGCTCGCGCTTGGCCAGCTGCGATATCCTCGACATGGTGAGCCACATTGGCAACCGACTGGAGGCGACAACCCGTGTTGCAGCCGAACAACCATCCCCACCGGATAAAATCAGTCTGTGTTTCGATGGCGGCGTGGAAATTGAGCTGAAGATTGTCGACAAGGCGGCGCCGCCGCTCAAGGGGCTGAAACTGCGCCGCGTCTCGGGCGACTACTACGTCTACCATCAGCTGTGCCAGCGCCTCATCAACTGCATGATGTCGTAGCGGCGCGGCGGCGGACTTATACATTGTGATAAATTGTGATTCAATACCTAAACTAGTGTGGGCGCGGCGGCACGGCACGGCGGAGAGAGATGCGAGGAGGACATTCGGATGCGAACAGACCTTAGGTTAATGATGAGAATAGCTAATTAAAATTGTAATTATTCCTCTCTTTTACATTCCGTACGACTTGCGAGGCGGGCGGCTCTGGCCCAGCCGACCAAGAGAATTGATTGCTTCCTGCTCGAGGAAGCGTCGTCTTAACTTAAAAAAGAAAATTAATATCTAAATTGTAACTTTCGCACAAACAAAGCAATTACCAACTTGAACGTGTGTCTATCGTAAGTGTAAGTTTATTTATTTATTAATTTTCTACCTAACAAGCTTGCTGCGTGTATTATTTGAGACTTGGTGCGACATTTCGGCCCAAAACGTTGGCGCTGTATGTGAGCGACTCGACTTCCGTGGCGCGGCTCAGTGAATCGTCGGTTACTAATCGTTCGTTGCGTGCTTCTTCAATTGCTTCTGTAATGTAGAAATTTCAGAAGATGTTTTTATTTCATGTGAGTTACATACTGCTGTATGGTGTGTATTTGTCACTCATGAAGTCTTCAATGTGGTAACCGACGTAGCCGACGACAGCGGCGAATGGCAGCGTTACAAACGGTGCATATTGACGCAGGACACGAAATACAATCGGCCACATTTTACACAGTAATTTATTTATTATTTATTGTTATGTAGGAATTTAGAAAATATCAGCTGATTTGTGCATGCCGCATGCTTCAATTTGTCACATATCACACGCAGATGATATTTCATTGGTTAGATACGCAGACAATGATTCTCGGGTATTTTCGGTGTATGGCAGTCGTGTAGGTTTACTTCTTACGGAAACACCCGAAGCTGCGTGTCTGCCAATCTGGTCGGTATGTTTTATAATTTCAGGTTATTTGTGTTATGAAACCTGCGCGTGCCGGCCGCGTAACATCATTTTTCTGTTCGTATTTTGTGATTTATTAAAGAAATGTTGCGGCATCTACGACGTTTGGAGGCCATTGGACGCCGCACAAGGAAGTACTACACCGTGAAGTCTGAAGTAGCTTCCAGTTTGAAAGGAAAATCCACTTCCAAAGCAACTTGAAATTCAAATCAAGGCTGCAGGACCCATCACTGTAGCAGAATACATGAAGCAAGTCTTAATACATCCAATGGGTAAACAATTCAACATTCTATACATTTATTTGTATTAATCCAAGTGTTTTGTGTGTTTATTTTGTATCAGGTGGATATTACATACACAAAGATGCATTTGGTCCAACTGGAGACTTTGTAACTTCTCCAGAAATCAGCCAGATGTTTGGAGAGATGATTGCCATTTGGTTTCTGAATGAATGGCAAAAGATTGGATCTCCTAAACCATTAAATGTAACTAACTATACATTAATATCACTTTGTTTATATAAATATTATAAACATTATTTATTTATAATTTTAATTTTAGATTGTGGAATTGGGTCCAGGTAGAGGATCACTCATGCAGGATCTATTAAGAGTGTTTGGACACTTTGATGCACTCAAAGAAGCAAGCATTCACATGGTGGAAGTGAGCGACCTGATGGCGGACATGCAAGCGCGCCGCTTGTGCATCAACGTACGACGCATCAACGAAAAAGACGCGAATTTCTACAAGGAAGGCTACAATTCCAACGGGATTCCAATCAGGTGGTATCGGAATTTCTCACAATTACCGCCCGGGTTTTCATTTCTCATCGCGCATGAGTTTTTCGACGCGTTGCCTATACATAAATTCGTCAAAACCCCGGAGGGATATCGCGAACTGTTGATTGACATTGATGAGACTACACCCGGTAAATTTAGATATGTACGTGCACGAGAACAAACCCCAGTCGGGAAAATGTTTATACGCGGGGATGAAACACGCAGCGACATTGAAATCTCCCCAGACTCGCTTGTGTTGGCAAAAGATATATCACAACATTTGGAAGAACATGGTGGATTTGCTCTTATCGCAGACTACGGCCATTCAGGCGATGGTAAAGTAGAAGCAGACACATTTCGTGCGTACAAACAACATAAACAACACGATCCGTTGGTGGATCCAGGATCAGCGGATCTCACCGCCGATGTGGACTTTGGTGTATTACAGAAAGCTATTCACCAACAAGGCGGGACAATTACTTTTGGTCCAGTCACTCAACGAGAGTTTCTTTTGAGTTTAGGAATGCAACAACGCTTGGAGAAGTTAAAACAAATCGAGGGCGTAACAGACGAAACACGTAAAGTTTTAGACTCTAGTTTTGCGATGTTGACAGACGAGGCGCAGATGGGCAAGCGTTTTAAATTCCTCGCAGTAATGCCGGCGGTGCTACAAGAGTTCCTCAAGAAATTCCCACCCGTTGGTTTTACTAACACGTAAGAGTTGACATGAATTAATTAATTGCATTCAGTGTGCAATTACGCAATCACTGCGAGAGACAGCGTGTGGCATTGAAAGGAACTGCGCGTAATGCGCTTAATTGTTATGTATTTAATAAATTTACCTGCTAGTTAATAGTATTAAGGACGGATGTAATGGCTGTGTGGCGGACGAGAAGTGAAAGTTGTTTGCTTCAACGGACGCGAATGCGAGCGCAATCAGTCGCGAAGGAACGCTTGCCGCGACAGGCGACGACGACGCTGACCTACTAAGTTTTCTCTTTCGTCGCGCGGTGTTTTATAACGCCGTAAAATGAAGTTTTTTCTCTTTGTATGCGCGTTGGCATGCCTGCGGTTTTCCACGGCGTTGATTATTCCCGATGAAGTGCCAACGCTGTTGTCGCTTATTTACTCCAACATTCCCACGTTGAAGAAAGGTATATTTTGATTTGTTATTTGGGTTTTTTTGTGGTTTTGATGATTTTGATTGTTTCAGGGACGGATTCTCGGTTGGGATGGGGTTTTCGTTTTGGTGATCGTGCGGATTTTCAAGTCTTGCTTGAGTTGGGTCCGCAGAAAGACACACAGCCGCTGGCGAATCAGGAGATTCGGCGAATAAGCGCGCGGCTGCGCACACCCTCGCAAATGCGCTCTATGCACAGTCGCTGCGCAACAAGGAGCAGGAACAGAAGCAACAACGACAACCAACGGTAGAATTTATCTTATGACTTTACTATTTTAACTTTACTTTTATTTAATTTCTGATTTCTTTAATTTAAATTTCTAGATTTCTGATACGAAAGGCGGTGAATTTATTAAACAGTGGTCGGATGATTTCAATCAACCACAACAACAACCAGCAGTGAATGAGCCACCAAAACAAGTCCCTGTTGAAGAAGCGCCTACGAAATTCACTCTCGGTATAGGCGAAGTTGATGCCAAAGATTACATCCCTGAAGATGCCACCGATCCGCCCGCAAACCCTCAGAGTGCGCTTGAGATGTTGGCGCAGATGTACGACAAGAAGAAACCGTTGGTGGCCAAACCAACTGTGAAGCCGCCGAGAACAACGACCAGTTGGAAGGACGCGCTGGACAATGTCGATCTGGATTGATTATGAGCGCGCCGGTTATTTATTTATTGGTGCATGTGAACAATTTAAGAGATTTGGTTATTTGTATATACATTTATGCAGGTTTTACGTTGTGTAACCTGAGGTGTTATTAGGTAAAAATGAGAAGTGTGTATTTTCGATTGTAACATGGATTGTCATATTTATAATTTTTTAAATAATTTTAATATTCTATGATACCATGTATCATTCATAGGTGGCACCAGCATGAACTAAAAATCATAAAATAGACTTGTATCGTATATATCTATATTTATCGGCAAACGTGGGCATTCGACACGAGAATTGTGTTTGTTTTGAACATAATTTACACTTTGTTATCGCATTCTCTTGTATTGTCGATGCTATCGCCTCACGCCGCACGTTGCTGTATTTTAGTTTAGTTTTGATTGCAGGTACCAAGCCAAATGCAATTCGCGCACAAGGTCGCGTGCTGTCGACGCGCCGAGTTTGCGCACCTCTTGCTTTCTTATCATAAACAGTCGCGTCGTTGCTTGCTCGACTACGGCTTGGGCTGTCGATGGATTGCAGCCAGTTTCGTGCCGGTCTCTGGTTGATTCAGACGTATTTTGTGCGACTCGTATCGTAATCGACTATTTAATCTTAACTTGACTTTAGTATAGTTATTTATTTGCGCGTAAGCGTGTCGCGGCCATGTTGATTTATTCATCATTTGGATGACCCATCGTGCTGCTGTAAGTAACTTTTAACCCAACAGCCCAGATTGTTTGTTTTTCTCCGCTGTGTGAATATAACATTACTTATGTTTTCTTTTTTTTATTTACAGCATTTGCCGTGGTTTAGAGTCTGATGAGTTCTGCATTGGTAAGTTTATAATTCAATTATATATTTCGTTTTATTTTCTGCGTCCATCATTACTTTGCATTTACGTGTTTTTTTTTTCGTCGCGGTCCACCGCATTCTACTAAAGCGTTAGCATTAAATAGTTTAATTATTTTTTCTTATTGGGAGAAACGTCTTACAAACTTGTGCGCGGGGTCCAAATATGCAGAATTAAATTCTCTATCCAGTTGTATTTAATTATTGCTAGACAAGCGCTTATACGATACGATTTATGATTTAATATAGAACTAAACTTGTAATGCTTATTATAAAACACAGCTTTTAAATTTAGAACATCACACGCCTATGTAGGTTAGATTTATTGCATTTGTGTACAAAACTGTAATATTTATTTAAATTTCACGTGATAGAAACATGATGCAGAATCCCCATTTGTCCATTTTTCCTTATTAATTATTACTTTAAATTAACAATTTAGCTAGCATATCTTATAGGGAATTGTCATTGCGTAGAATAGTTTTCTGCGATCGAAGATCCTTTAACTCTCTTTTTAGTTTTACGAGATATTCGCGATTTGAGAAAATGGGCAAAATTTGATAGATATGCGCTTTTTAGCACTTTTAGTCGCGTTTTTCGACCTTTTACTGTAGGAAATATAGTGAATTTATATCTTTGTCCGATAGAGATTTACCAATCTTTCATAAATCAATACATTCGTTGGTTGCTATTGCTTTTAGTTTAAAGTCTTAAATTTTTGAAAATCATTGATCGAAAAAAGTATCAAGCACCCCCTTGGCGATTTTTCTTAACAATTAAAATTTCATCTCACGGATTTCCGTTTTAACTATCCTATCTTATAGAGAATAGTCCGTAGATTAAGACGCTGCGATCAGATCTTAAATATATAACGCAGTTTACGAGATATTCGCGTTTGAATGAAATGGGCAAAAATTGAAATGTCACTTTTAGCACTTTTAGTCGCGATTTTCCATACCCTTTACTGTAGGAAATATAATTATTTTATATTTTTATCTGATAGACAATTTTCCAATCTTTCATAATCAGCAATTCGTTGGTTGCTACGCCTTTAGTTTAGAGATGAATTTTGAAAATCGTCGAAAAGAATATCAAACACTTGATTTTGGCGATTGCGGCGGTACGCATATTATTATTTATCGCATGTGGTCGCAATGCTGCGGGTGGTGTGCTGCTTGTGCTTGCTCAGCGCAGTTTGTCACCGGTCGTTGTTCCGGGTTGGACGTGTTTCTCGCGACTGTTATCGTTTTATTTTTAGTTTGTAATTCGGTAAATCGCATTTCATTTCGATTGCCCATCGGCTGGATTTAGTTGATTTCCTCACGTGTTTAGTGTTTCATTAATAGATAAACGGGTGTCGAATATTCAAAATCGTTAATTTTCTTTGCGTTCGTTATTTGCGTATTTACCGGGCTGTGCGTGTTGTTATCAACTTGTTTACACTGCAAGAAGCGTGCATGGTGTAGGGAGTAATGAACCGCCACAGCGCCTTGCAGTGTGGTGTTGTGATATTATTTCATTTTATTTTGATTCTCTGTCGTTGTGTTTGGTATTTTTTGCCTGGGAACATGGACGATGTTCTTCGTGGAAACCGAGAACGGTAGAAAGTGCAGACTTCCTTTATTTCATTTTCTGGGGAATTGTTGCCTGCAGGTGAGGCGGCCTAGGAATTTCCGTGCGGATTCTAGAAATGACAAATTAAATTCTACCTGGGATTGTATTTAATTTGTTTGCCCAGAGTTGCGTCTGCATGCATACCACCTAAAGTCGAAATTGGATGGTTAAGTAGGATTTTCACAAATTGGCGGGAAGGGTATTTGGGGTTTTTCATCGACGGTGCGCATAAAATCCTAGATTTGGTGTTTGTGCGTGGCATCTTCTTGGGGCAATTTTCCTTGATTGCTGTTTGTGTTATGTAATTCTGTATGGCAGGGCAAGCATCTTTTGGTATTGTATACTTGACTTTGCTGGATTGCCATATTAATGTAATACGTAGGGTGAGGGTCCTTAAAATGCATTTTTGAATTTCTTTGCTCCCAGGGAGGCTTAAACGCTTTTCAAATCGATAAAAAAAAATCCCACACAGAAAATTTGGAAGCTCTTGTATTAACTTTAAGATAGTCGCACTCTCAGATAGAGTTTTTTTATGGGAGATTACTTGGCAGAAATGGATTTTGAAGTAACAAACCGTGACACTTATATTTATTGTAATTTAATTCTCCGTAGCAAAAAATACCTCATACATATTACACACATGTGACTTGATACTATTTAGAATATATAGCAAATAATAGCAAAAATAATAGGAGTTTATTGTTCAATTTTTATCAGAATATAAAAGCAATATTATGGTGATACTCGAAAATCTGCAATAGTGGATAATATGAAAAAGATTAAAGCTTAGTATTCGAATAGTCAATAGGTGCAGTAATATGGTATGAGGTATTTTTTATGGAAAATGCATTACAGCATAAATATAATAACGATTGATACCAAAAATCATTTTTTCTGCCAATACTTATATAATGCGGACTTCTTAAAGTTAAACTCAAGCCCAGGAAATTTTATCAGGCAAAAACGTTTACTTAAATAAAAATAAAATTTAAGTTTCCTATACATATTTATTGTACTGTCCAAAAAGCAGTAGAATTCATTTTATATGTAAATAATTTGGTTTTGTATTGCAGTTGTTTGTGTTTTAATGTTTTGCTTGCACCTTGGCGTGTTTTGAGTAGTATAAATAAGCAACGTTGATACTTATTGAGAAGAAGTTTAGCAACACTTGGCCTTGAGAGTCACCGCTTCCGTCGCAGAAATGTTAGAGATGCGCGTATTACAAGGCAAGTTTTACTTCAGGAGATTTAAGAGCTGCCTCTGATTTTTCAGGTTTTAAATCAATATACGTTGTTTTTAAATATTTGCTACAATAAAACATAATAGCAATATTATATACTTCTTCATATTTCTTTCTAGTTTCCCCTTTTTGCCGTTTTTTGGGATAAAAGCTTAAGTGCACGTCGAGCGTGTACAATATATAGCTATTTGTTTTGCGTTGTAGTTGTTGTTTTTAAAAAGTTGAATAAAGTAGAAACATAAATAGAAAGAATCAAATATTAATGATAAAAACACTTTCCCGGTGAGGTCGAGTGGAGACAGCATTTTCTACTGGCATGCTGGCGAACACGTATCGGAATCCACGTGTAGAAGAGCATTTTTCTCAAATATAAAAAATATCAGGTGAAATTTGGGTTGCATATATAGTGCAACGAAATATATGAGAATTGAAATACAAGTGGAGGCAATAAGAGTTGTATAGTAAATGGAGAACGGAGAACAGAGGAAATAGAAGAAGGAGTAGTAGAGGGAGCATAGGAGAGGACAGAAGGAAGAGAACAGAGAGTAAGAGGGAGAGATGGTAGAGGGAGCCACAGGGGTGGATGAAATTTTTAAATTTTTGGCACGTGTCGTTTCTAAGACAGTCACAGGTCGATCTCCCCAGAGCGCCTCCAGCGCTTTCTGGTCGATCACTCCCACTGCCTCAGTAAAATCCCATTGCTCCCAGCCCGGCATCCTACAGCTACGATGTCTCCTGCGCTTCATCCCCGGAGATTATCAGGCCTTATCAACGAATTTTTATGGTGGGATCACTTGGAGAGGGAACTCCTTATAGGGACATCCTTTTTTTAAGGACTTGTAAAATATTTCTAAGTTTTAAAAAGTCTCGCCTCAAGAGAGGGGACACTTAAAATAATCTTACAAGTTCTGACCTGTAGCTGAAATGAAAGAAGGAGTACACAAATCCTTGCAAGGTTACCTCAACAATTTTATAGAGGGATCATCCCTGAGAGAGAGGGAACTTTCTCTTAGAGACCTGTTCCTGAAATGATAGAAGGCGAACACACAAATCAAAGTCGTATATCTTACCAACATTAACAATAGAATACAAGTTTGGTTTTACATGTCAACAGGAATACATATACGCCATAATGAAACCGGACTTTGACCTGCTAAACCTACCGCGCACATATAAAGCAAGTACCACTTCGCACAGTTCTACCGGAATAATGAAATTAGCAAGTATTTTTCATTTTTTCATACAGGGTTGAAAATGGAAACAAATATACAGGGTATTTACAAATGAAAAATTTAATATGAAAACCGAAAACATTTATACTTCAAATATCATTCGTTTTTTCACCGAGGCTCCGGGAAACTAATATACACAGGGTGTGTCACAAAAGTTTAAGGGCAATGCCAGAGCAAAACTCTAAAAACAACAGTTAAAACAAATTTTCAGGGACACAAAGAAAAATGAATATACGGGGTGTTTTAAGAAGAAAATCTCTGGATTGAAACAAAAGAAGCACACAGAAACACACAAATACACCAGCGATTTTTCTACGT